AAAGAGCTGACAAGAAAAAAAAAAAAAAACTCTTGGAGGACTTTAAAAATGCCCTATACATTTTCTTTTTTTCCCCCTGTATGGAGGTTGAAAGAAAAGAATGCAAGTATAAACTTTCATGTTTTTTCTCTTTTAAAAGGGAAAATAATGTTTCTAGCATTTTTTTCCCAAAGCAGAATCTTTTTCTCCTAAAAGTTTATTTGAATTGTAGTGAAAAGAAGTAAATTTGTGCAATTCACTTCAGCTGACATTAAAAGTTTTTCTACCTCATCTGGAAAAACAGAAGGAATGTTATGTGTCCCTGGGTATATTTATCATCATGCTTTATAGGAGACCTTATTCTTACAGTTGTCACTGTATCTTCCTCCTGAGGAGTCATAAGACTGTCTTTCACAGGAAAGTGAAAAATAAGAGGATTCTCTATCCCTCCATTGTTTTCTCCTCTCAATCTATGGCCGGTCATTTGGTGCTCTATGCATTCCTGATCTGCTCACAAACTCTATTCAGTTCAGAAAGGCTCTCATTAAATTTTCAACACTCCATCTTTTCCAGTGTCAAAAAGGTCCTTACTGGAGATCAGCTCAAGAGGCATGAATTATATATCTATAAATATACCCATAAAACAAAATAGAGGGTAGCCTTCAAAGCAAAAATAGAGTTTTTATTTCCCCAGCGATATTGCTAATTTAAAGGAAAGCCCAAATCTATCAAGAAAATGCCCCAGATTTTAAAATACTAACTTTAAGAAATATGGAGTGTTGATTTCAAGAAGAAAAAGGGAAGCAATTTTCACAGGAGCTCTTGGATATTTGTGTTTCTAAAGATACCATTTGTCACCAGACACACCTCAATCCTCTCAGAATGGCTTCTTCATTCTATCTGTTTTATTTTTATCTGGACAAACAGAAGGTGATTTGGCATCATGAATGCAACGGAAGCCATTATAAGTGCTGCATTCTCTTTCATCCCACCACACTTTATTGTCAGCACAAACTACTTCAATAAATGTGTGTGGCCTTCTGCTGGAAGCAAAAACTATCTAGAGAAAAGGAGGAGGCCAATTTATTAGGTTGAGCTGTGTCTAGGTACAGCAATGCCTAGAAGTTTAAACAAACTAAATTTAGGACTGATGCAGATAAATGGCTTGTTGCCACTTATATCACAGCACCAACATGCCCTGGCAGTGTGTTTTTTCTACTTTGCTCTTGGTTTCCTTGTCCTGAGTTCCTCTCAGTCCTTTGAGGTAGTCCAGGCAGGAAGCCAAAATCATGAGTACAGTTTATGCAAGTCTGAAAGCAATTTCCCCCTCCCTTCTGTTACTTCTAGAAACTAGGGAGTGTCTTTTTTGAGATTCTTTCTTTACTCCCATCCCTCCTTGGAGTCAGATTTCATATTTCAGATGTTTTATGGGATGTGACTGTTCTTCCTGTCTCCCAAAGTTATTGTAGCCCATTACAGTTTCCCACCCATCATGAAAATCTCTTTTATGGCCCCTGCCTTTGCTGCCATGAGGTTACCAAAAACTTTGTAAAATTACTTTAGAAATTATTTCTATAGATTAGTGTAACTCCAACACTCACCCCTCCACTACTCCAAATTGAATTATTATGAAACTGACCTCTCTTTAGCCTATCAAGCTAGTTCACTGACTATAAGCATTAATGTCAAGATAAAAGAAAAATAAGCTATTAATAATATAGTAAACTGAAATGAAAGTAACTGTTAAAATGGAAATTCTGATTTTTAGATCAGAATCTTGAGTAACCCTGTGATTAGGAACAGAAATATCCATGCATTTTAATGCAAAATAGCCAAGATTTCCAGACTCTACTCAGTCTGAAAAAGAAGAGTTGTCTTTCCCACCAGCCTTGGGTAGGTGACATTTCAGCTGTGCACTAAATCCTTTATAAAAATCAGAAAGTTTCTTAACAAAAGCACTTCAGATGCCTTAGACAGGCAATTAAGAACTCACAATCTTAAAACTTCAATCTAAGTCACCGATGGTATAATTATGGAGAGATAAATGCCATTATATAATGCTAGCTAAATTGCATTCTCAACAGACCTTGAATAATGCTTGGGAACTTTCAGGAGTCAAAATATTGCTTGATTCCACGTTAACCTCCCCCCCCCCAAAAAAAAGGCTGTATACATATATATAAGGATCTTAACAAGTGAGGGTACCAAGTTGACTTTTCCTAGCTCTGAAAGCTAAGCAGATACAGATTAGTGCATAGGGTGGGAAACTCCCAGGGCTGTAGACTACACCGAAAAAATGAAAAACATTTCAGAAAACAATAGCAAGCCTCCTTGAAGTGCTATAGAATATGAGAAAACTACGATTTATGAATTCATCAGCAGTGAATCTCGAATTAAAGAAAACTACTTTTTGGCAAACTGAGAAAGTTTGTCAGTTCTTAACAATAGACTAAATATCTGTGCAGCAATAAAAATCAAAAAGAGATAATAATATGTTGAAACAATAGCAGCAATTAAATAAAATAATTGCTTAGTACAGGAAGATTTAAACAAGGACCTCCACTGCTAAGAACTAAGCTTTTCCAACAGTTCCAAAATAGCTTCTTTGCATATGATTACTGCATTTTCAGCAGGAAAATATGCTTTCTCTTCTGGAAACAATAGCATTTGCTTTATAGATTATTCCTAGTTGGACTTACAGTAAATATTTTGAACTAGGAGGGCTCAGTTATGTACTGAGTGACATACTAGGTATATCTCCTTCCCTCCCAAAGAACAATGTTATGTAAATCATGTCATTACTGTACACCCAACCAATTAAGGTTACTAAGAACTTAGTGGCTTTGAATCAGTGGAGCAAGTTAATTGAGAATAGCTTAACATACATTTGTTTCAGTTGAATTTTACTAATGATACTAGGTTGAGGTTCCAATTTGTATTGGTTACAAGTATTTCAAATTAAGATCCCCTTGCTTGGCCAAAGGTTTTTCAGAAATCAAGACATAATGCATCTGGTAATAACAATATAAGGTTCTTTCAGATCAATCCCTTTTTATCATTCCCTGGAAGCTCTTTTTTCTTTGTTTTTTTGGCCCATCTGACTTAAATCCATTTTCCAGGATTTCTCAGGCTGTTTCATAAAAGTGTGGTCAGACAATTGAGTTCCTTTAATTCCTTAGGTTGCAGTTCACCCTGGAGATTTAAATTAGTTTGAAGTATATAGGTATTGCTAATTATTTTTCTGTCATTCTTAAGTATCAGTCCTACCCCTTTACTCTTACAGTTTCCTGGTAGTACCCATATTCTCTTCTTCAACAAGAATATCCAACAAATATACAACATATCCAATGAATTCTAGTCAGCCCTGACTGTGAAAGCAGTAGCAGTGATGGTAGAAGAATTTCCATTTGGCTAAATAGAGCATTTTTAAATGGATGAAGCTTTCCAGGGTCTTGTAAGATCTGAATGGACATTTTATTTGGCTCATTGCAGTTATTTGAGAATAGAGAATAAAGAATAGAATAGAGCTGGAAGGGACCTTGGAGATCTTCTACTCCAGCCCCCTGCTCAAGCAAGAGAACCTATACCATTTCAGACAAGTGACTGTCTAGTCTCTTCTTAAAAACCTCCAGTGATGGAGCACCCACAATTTCTGAAGGCAAGCTATTCCACTGGTTAATTGTCCTCACTGTCAGGAAGTTTCTCCTTAATTCCAGGTTGCTTCTCTCTTTGGTCACTTTCCAACCATTGTCTCATGTCCTGCCCGCTGGTGCTTTGGAGAATAGTTTGATGCCCTCTTCTTTGAGGCATCCCCTCAAATACTGGAATACTGCTATCATGTCACCCTGTTTCTTCTTTTCTTTAGAGTAGCCAAACCCAAGTCCAGCAGCCATTCTTCATATGTTTTAGTCTCCAGGTCTTGGATCATTTTAGTTGCTCTTCTCTGAACTTTTTCCAAAGTGTCAACATCCTTTTTGTAGTGTGGTGACCAAAATTGGTTGCAGTATTTCAGGTGTGATTTTACTAGGGTTTTATAAAGCTGTACTAATACTTCATGTGATCTTGATTCTATGTCTCTGTTTATACAATTGATTCTAAATTTTTAAAAGTGAGATAGCCTTTTAATGGCCCGAGTTGCTAATACAGTTAACCTTAAATTAACTTGGAAGTTAACAAGGCTCAGTTAATATTTGGAGTGGGATCTTTTGGTACTCCTAAGGCTGTTGGCTAGACAAAAAAAAAAAAAAAATCAACAGATATCCCAAATATCTGTTGGCCAATGACAATCTTCTTCTGTAATGCTGCTAATAAATTGCATAGATATGTTCATGAAATCTCTAAGAAGTTAGCATGAATGGAGGGAGGTTTTACTTTTAAAATATTTCATATGTTATGAATTAAAACAAAAGAGTGATCATAATTCTAAAAAACTAGCTATTATAATGAAACATGCAATTACTGAAAAGTCTTTAACTATTATAGTGAACAGAAGAAATGTATGATGTTAGAATTTGGCAAGTCACTCTGAGAGTATCTTCAACAACCAAATTATATATATATATATCCTGTATTTGAAAAGTTCAAAGAGGAGGGATTCTGCATACAAATATGTGTGTGGGGAGGTGTAGGTTTACAAACATGTAGAGCAGGGGTCCCCAACCTCCAGTCCATGGACCGGTACTGGTCCGTGGCCTGATAGGAATCGGGTTGTGCAAGTGACAGGTGAGTGAGCAAAGTTTTATGTGCACATGCACAGGATTAGGTTGTGTGCAAAAGCATTCCCCCTCCAGTCCATGGAAAAATTGTCTGGCATGAAACTGGTCCCTGGTGCCAGTAAGGTTGGGGACCACTGATTTAGAGCCCTGTTGATAGAGTTAACAGCTTAAAAACTGCTGGTTTCATGCAGCTGCCCACATACATGTGCAGGTTTATACACTCAGCCTTTGAGACAGATGAGCTGAATATCTTGCATTGCATTCAGGATGAACTAACCTTCTTCTTTTTTCTTTTCTTCTGTCCAGGAGGTGAATTAGTTATCCCTCTTCTTGTAGAAGACCCTTTAGATATCCCTCCTATTACTACTCGTGCACCTTTCATTACACTCCCCACTACCTTCCGTCCCCTCCTCACCATTATTGAGACCACCAAAGATTCCCTGTCCATGACCTCTGAGGCGGGGTTACCTTGCTTGTCGGACCAAGGCAGCGATGGTTGTGATGATGATGGCTTGGTGATATCTGGGTATGGCTCAGGGGAAACTTTTGACTCTAACCTACCCCCTACTGATGATGAAGATTTTTACACCACCTTCTCCTTGGTAACAGATAAAAGTCTTTCCACTTCAATCTTCGAAGGTGGCTACAAAGCACACGCACCCAAGTGGGAAGCCAAGAACTTTAGACCTAACAAAGTCTCCGAAACTGGTAGGACTACTATCACAGCTTTGTCCCCTGAGCTGATCCGCTCCACAGCTTCGTCCTCGACTGGGATGGTGCCCAAATTGCCAGCTGGCAACATGAATAACCGTGACCTCAAACCCCAGCCTGATATAGTCTTGCTTCCGTTGCCCACTGCCTTTGAGCTAGACAGCACAAAACTGAAGAGCCCGCTAATAACTTCCCCCATGTTCCGTAATGTGCCCACAGCAAACCCCACAGAGCCAGGAATCAGACGGGTTCCGGGGGCCTCAGAGGTGGTCCGTGAGTCGAGCAGCACAACGGGAATGGTCGTCGGCATTGTAGCTGCTGCTGCCCTCTGCATCCTGATCCTCCTGTATGCCATGTACAAGTACAGGAACAGGGACGAAGGGTCCTATCAGGTGGATGAGACGCGTAACTACATCAGCAACTCAGCCCAGAGTAATGGCACGCTCATGAAGGAGAAGCAGCAGAGTTCAAAGAGCGGCCACAAGAAACAGAAAAACAAGGACAAAGAATATTATGTGTAAAAAAAATAAAACAAAAAAAATATTTATATATAAATATATAAATATTGAATGAGCTATAACTGAACCAAAACTGTTGCAGCCAATGAGATTGGGAGAAACCGTCTGCGGTTTGAGACCAATGTTGAGCATAAACATTTCAGTCATTGACTGCTAAGTTTTCAAATCACTGCTTGGAGTCCCGAAACTCTGCCCTCCTGTATTATAAAGCACATATAGTGTTCAGAAGAAGGCCTCCCCAGCATATCCATGTTGGCAGACTTAAAAGCCTTCCGAGTTCCTCCTCAGCTGAACTGTTCTGCAAGGGCAGAAGACTTCACAGCTTACTTGTTTCGTATCTCCAAGTGAGTCTTTAATGATGTTCACAATCTTTGACTGTACGCTATTTTTTTTTTCAGTTTATTATTTTAAAAAATAACAAAAAACAGAAAAAGAAAAAAAGTGGAAATGTTAGAAACAAAGCAGAACAACTGATCTGGACTTGTCCAGCCTGAGTATCATTTTTCAAGATGTGAGGGGGGAAAGAAATAGTAATATTAATAATAAAAAATGGTTTGGGGTTTTCATTGTATTTTTTGTCTGAGTTTTTTTCATTTTCTGTGAGAGGTTTTTGAGAGAATGAGCCAGGACATAAGTCAAGAAGAAATCTTGGGGAAAAATACAATAAATAAAGACTGTTGCCATATATGAACTCAAGTTCTATCCACAGTGTTTGCATATCAGGTTGTGTTGTCTCTTGAATCTGTTGTCTGCAGTAAGTTGTTAATATAAAAAAGAAAGATGAGGAAGGGGCAGTGATGGTGATCATGCTGAAAATGATAGTCATGGAAAATTGGACAACCCCAGATACTGGCTCTAGTTATATGTAAGCAAAGTCATAAGAGGATAACAGTTTCTTCTTTGACTAGAAGCCCCCAGCTATGTCTGACTACCATTTGCTCAACTATGGGGGTGGGGAATCAAAACCAAACCAAAAGTAGTTATTCTCAATTGAATAGTCCAAGCAAAAATAAGGGAGTCATTGTCTGGTTCCTTGGCTGAGGACACTGTATGAATGCAAGGAGTAGTGATCAAGTGAATAAAGTCTTTAGAAAGATTATGGAGTTTGTCTTGTGACAAAACCACATGTCACACAAGCCAAAAATTGTCACAGAGGAATTCAAAATTGGGACTGTGCTTTAAAAACAACAACATGATGGTATGTTTCATATGTCACAATTTAATTTTGTAGATTGACATTTCTGATTCGCTGTCCTTCCATTTGCCCTATGCTCCCTATCCCTTGATTTTTATATAAAAGAAGATAAATTTAAAAAGTCCTTATGACACACTGAAAAAATAAAGGAGCTTATTAATAGTATAATATATATATAAATAAATAAATATAAATATATATATATATATACAGACACAGATATATTTATCATGGTATGTTTGATGGGATGACTGGAACAGAAATGCTGTTAAAATCTTAATATGAAATGAGACTGTTGTAAAGCAAAAATGTTTTTACAAAAAAGCAAAAAAACTAAACTTTAAAAATGTGAACAGAGTGTGCATTTTACCTTGTCACAGTTACCTGTATCAAAAAAAAACAATAACAATTTTCAGACAAGAATAATTTTTTGGGTCACATATTTTACTACAATTTTTTTGACTGGTGTAATTTCTAGATGGGTACCCTAATGTACATAAAATGCTCTGAGATTTCATTGAGTTGTTGATTATATTCAGTGTAATTTAATTTTGTTGGATTATTTCTTTTTTTTTAATTTCTTCCATTTTTTTAAAAGAGCAACTTACTGTACAGTAAAAATAATCAACTGGTGTTTTCTGGCCACAGATATCATGTGCAAAAAATAACAATAATAAACAAAAGCAAACAAGAAAGACAGCAAGATTGATAGAAACAGGAAAAACACATAACTTAGAGGACTCTGGCAAATAAAAAAAAATGTACAATTTTCCTGTGTACAAATGAAATCTAATCAGCTGTTTAGGTTTAGAAATCTACTCTTGCTGGTGTTTATAAGTCGCATGAATCTTTGAAGACGTGTTATCTAATGCACACGTGGGAACAATAAAAAGAAGGCAGCCTTCTCATATGCTTTGAGAAGAGGCTTACCTGGCTAACAAATCTTTTTGGTGTGTGTGAGGTTTGTTTTGTTTTCTTTGGTTTATTTTTTAATTTTTTTACACTACAACAGAGAAAGAAAGAGAGAGAAAGAGAGAAAGAGAAAGATTGTTTTTTAAAAGATGTGAAAGAATGATTTTCAACAGCCTCACTGGCCAAACATATATGGAGTTGATTATATCTTGATGTCTGTAAAAGATTGCTGCTGTTCTTGGAGTCTTGTGAAATGATTTTCTGCTTTTTTCTTTTTCTTTAGGAAAACCCACTTTTCTTTTCTTCTATCTGTTTGTTTGGGACAGATTTTGGGGAACATGCACATTTCTGTCTGGAAGCTTCTCCCATTTCACTATTATTTTCTGAACAGAACTGTGAAGATTTTTGTTAACGTTATTGTGCCGTTATCTCTCACTTTTGTTTCCTTTCTTCTCTTCATCCTTTCCTTTTTCCCCAGTTCTTTTCTTTTCATAATTGCCTTTTTGTTCAAGAATATGCTTAGCAATAAAATGTTCTTCCCAAAGCCCTGTTGTTGCTGTGACTTTCTGTCCAAAAAGATAAGGGACTTTCCTTTTTCTTAAGAGATTTGGATATAAGAACAGTTCAGCTAATTTAACAAGTTTGTTCTGCATTTTTAATCTCACAACAAACCTTGGAATAAAATAGTCGATGAGTTTCCTAGGCTAATGAACTTCAATATTTATTCCCATTTCTGAACTCTATGCTCTAAACCAGGGGTCCTTAACCCCCAAGCCGCAGCCCATTACCGGGCCCCATGAGCATTGGACTGATGTGCACATGGGCAAGTTGAGCTGCACATGCAAGTGTGTGCCTGCCAGCCTGCTGCTTGTGCAAGTTGAGCTATGTGAGCACACCTGTGTGCACTCAGTCAGTTCCCCTCTCCCCCCTCCCATTGGGCTGCCAAGCTACAAACGTTGGGGACCGCTGCTCTAAACCAATGCATCACACTTTTGCTCATATTCTTGGACTTATGAACAATATCTGGATCTCAGATACTAGTTTACTACTATATAATAAAAACCAGGAGGGCCTTGTGAATTTGGTCATATAGTGATTATTTGGATTTGCAAATTTATCCATCGGTTTTCTAAGCATCATTAAAAAAATTCCACAGAATAAAAATATGTAAGCATTTTAAACTTCAGTATAAAATCTGAAGAGCGAGAGAAAAAAAGCACAATAAAAAGTAGTCTTTTTTTTTCAAGCTGATTTATCAAATTTAGGTACCGCCCCATCTCACTCTCAGAGTTTAAAGAAAAGATTGATAAAATATAAGAATACATGATATAATACTTGATGCAATGCATCCATCCATATATCCAAAAAAGAAGAAGCTGCTTAAGGGATTACAAGAATAGCAGCTTTAAAAACCTTAAAGGACAATGAAGTCTCAACTTAGTATTGAAGGCAAATTGAAAAATCATACACTTAAAGAAAATTTTCAGTACATGTGAAGATTCTCAAAATGATTTGGGGGCACATAAACAGTGCATACGGAAGGATGGTACTGTGGTCCCAATCTGTTACTTGCTTTATAGTCCTTCAATTCAATGCAGATAAGCCCAAGCCAGCAGTCTTGATAACATTGCCATGGTCATCATTCTATACGAGTTGTTGCCAGTTGTATTTTGGGCCATTCTAGGAATGACCCAAATGGCCATCAAAAGATCAGGAAGTGTTGCAGCCAATATCTAGAAAGGAGGAATGTGGATTACCAGCCTAAATTGATAAAAGCCACATCGCACCATAAACTCTTTTTCAGCTGCTAATGATTGTGGCAGGGTTTTCAAAGTTGTTTTCAAAGTGGTGAAGTTGATTCTTCATGGGGAATACAGTGCGGTTGCTTCAGAAACAGTTTGAATGTCACTCATATGGTCTGAATAACTATTTAATAGTAATAGTCTTTTCTTATTGAAAAAGTTTTATTGACAATTAACAAAAAAAATTTAAACCCACAAACCCACCCACCCCCACCCCTCCCCACCCCCACTTCCCAGAGCCGAGTACAGGGTTATTACAAACATATTAAACAAAATCTAATTAAATTTAACAAATTATACAATAACTAAATTCATACTTAACCCTTAACTCCCTTTAAACCTTAATATCATAATATTATAAACAAATCCATTTTAAAACAATTATTATAAAGAACCATAATAACTGTAAATAAACTAAATAATTTCCATTATGAAATGCTATTAATAATAATTATTATTTAAAATTTAACCATAAAATAAATGGAACTTTTTAGTTCCATATTTAATCTGAATATAATCTATCCATCTTCTCCATACCATAATATATCTTTCTTGTGTATGATCCTTTAAATAAGCAGAAATTTTAGCCATTTCTGCTAAATTAGAAACCTTAAGTGTCCATTCTTCTATAGTAGGCAACAGATCTTTCTTCCAATATTGACCTACCAATAGCCTTGCTGCTGTTACTAAATTCAACATTAAAATAGTTTCTTTAACATCAAAATCCTCAAAATTCCCTAGTAAAAATAGTTGAGGAGTAAACTTTATCTTCCTTTTAAAAATCTTTTGAATGTTCCACCAAATCATAATCCAAAAAGCCTTAATATTTTTACAAGTCCACCAAACATGAAAATAAGTTGCGTCAGAACTACCACATCTCTAACATTTAGGCTGTAAATTAGGATACATACAAGACAACTTTTTAGGATCCAAATGCCACCTATAAAACATTTTATAAAAATTTTCCCTTAAATTTTGAGCCTGTGTAAATTTAACATTTCTGATCCAAATTATCTCCATAAATCCAATGGAATCGGTTCCTGGATATTCTGAGCCCATTTAACCATACAATCTTTAACCAATTCCGTTTCCGAATCCAATTCTATTAACGCATTATAAATTCTTTTTATGTGAGCCTGATTCTGATCTTTAATCTGAATTACCAAATTTTCATCTCCTAATGTTATTCCTACTTTCTTATCTAAAGTCCACCTATCCACTATTTGTAAATACTGAAACTATGACTGTAAAATATTTTCTTGCCTTAATACATCTAAAGATTTTAATTGCCAGTCAGTACCTGACCAAATAAGTAATTCTTTATATGGAATTTTTTCAAAATTCATCCCCTTAGAAATCCCCTCAATTGCAGGAATCCCCCAAATAGGTATTTTGTAATTTAACCTGTAATAATACTTCTTCCAAACTCGAAGTAAGGCATTTCTTAAAATATGCAGTTTAAAAGCTCGATCTACTTTCTTATTGGAAATTAAATATGTATGCCAACCATATAATAAATGCCACCCTTCAAGACAAAGAATATTTTTGTTGGTTAGATTAAGCCAATCACTTATCAAAGTTAGTGTGGCTGCATCATAATATAATTTCAAATTAGGTGCCTTAAGCCCTCCCCTTTCTCGAGCATCTTGCAAAATTTTAAAC